AGCAAGAGGAGGCGGAATCCACCCAACATAGCAATGGTCTGGTAGAGGATAGTGCTAAAGATGGTGCTGAGGCGTTGACGGAGGTCAACTGTGCTGCTGCTGCTGCGTTGGAGGAGGATGGCAAGGTGCCGCGGCCTGACCGCCAGCAGCACACATCCTTCCGTCGCGAAAGGCGCGGCAGTGAACACGGACGAAATGAGACCTGTACTGACGATGAAGAGGGCGAAGAATACGTCGCAGGTACTTCACTATCTACCACATTTATTTTCCGCTGTTTGCTCTCTCTATCTCTCTCTCTCAAAATCGCCCCCCTCCCTGCCCTCTTCTTCCCCCGCCGCCTTGTCTCGTCCGACGAGAAGTAGACTTTGCTGGCATGGTTGAAAAAAAACTGTACGGACCGTCTTCGCACGGGAAGATAGTATTGCCGGCAAAGGCAAGGGAGACTAGACTGGTCATGTCTGGCTCATTAGGCGTCACCAACCAGTCATACCCAGCCCCAAATGGTGTTCCACCGGCGTCTCGAACCGCGAGCTTTTCATCGGAAGTTTAACGCTCTAACCACTGGGACCACAGGCACGTAGTCTCGCCGGTTTAGCCCGGGAGACATTGGCACTCATTAATCAACAAAACTATCTACGGTTGGGTGTGTAATTTCCGTCTCTGAGTTGACCTTCCAGATAGGCCGCCCCGTTTGGGGTAAGGATTACTTGTATGGTCGCCTTAACAGAACATGGAAATAGGAACGCTGCCTCCCAAATAGTACAGGCAGTCCTGCGCATAATTCCAACAGGGGAAAATATTCCTGTGCCCCAAACCCTAACACTACTCATAAGGCCTAAACGGTAACGTTAATCTTATCTCTTACCATAACTTTCCTTGACGCCAGTCCGAATTCTTAACCTAACCCCGTTCTCTCTGGAGTTTGGTGCAAAGTTTCCTGTTCTCATGTCCAGCTTCTGGGGGAAGTAAGCGCTTTTTGTGATTGGTAAAATATTCCAGCGGTAAATAATCTGCGCAGCATAGCCTACCAGGAACAGGAAGTACACATTATTATTATCACTATTAAAATAACCCTTGCAACGGGTGGAATTGCTTTCCGCTCACGCCTCCTCGCCCTCCCCCCCCCTAGGACTGA